GCGACTCACACATACCTTAAACTCAGATTTCTAAGTACTAGGAAAATAAAGGTTTTTCCTGCATCGACTCAGAAATGTGGAGGCACATATGGGCCAACGGGGGACAAAATCCACACCAGAAATGTCAATGACACTGCCAACCACCACTTAAACTACAGGAGGCATCATCCACACAACATGAAAGTCAAGTATTTGTTGGTGATACCAACACAAACTAGTTCCCTCCACTCCAAGTGTGCAGCCACAAAACTCTTACTTTACTACATATCATGTTGTGGTTCTGTATTAAAAGGATATCTCCCGATTTACATGTTTTGTAATAGCAGTTACGTTAAAAACTAAGACACCCCACGCAGTTTTAATACTATTCCGTAAATAAACGTTAAATATACTGGGAATCCCTGATGTGCAATTTAAAGTGCAAACCTTGAAAATACTTCACGTTTTTCCATAAACCAAAGAGCATTTTCAGTTTATTTATATTGACTTAATTATTATACTGTGCATACTGTGTATTTTAAAACACAATGGCCTAATTATTTGCCACGTTAGTGTCATTAAAAGCTTGTTGGGGGGCCGTGTCAGTGGCGTTAATTGGCTAACAAAATTAGCCATTATGACTTTACCTTTACAAACGCCTTTAGTTTCCTCCAGAAAACACGAAGCTCCGCAGACTGTCGAAACATATTCCGCACCTAATTGACGAGTTAACGTTACTTTAAAAAGCTACAGCTCAAAATAAAAAGGATCTCTACAGAAAAAGAAGTGTTAGCCTACAACCGAGCCAATTAAGAAGCTAACCAGATGTAAGCTAAACTTGGCGGAATTTTGCTTACCATTATTTATTATATATTTTTTAATGTAGCGAGTTTCCCACTAAAATTATACAAACCGACGAGAGAAAGTTCTGCTTTGTAGCTCACACGTTACCCGGCTAAAATAAAACGCTCTCAGGTAGCCTGCTCCCTCCGCCCGTCACACTCACCATTAACAGCAGCGGAACCGCGAACCGGAAGACCAGAATACAAAATAAAAGCACAGGTAGCGCGCTTTACTCCACCAGAGTTTCATTATTTTGATTACCATCGCAGAAAATGATTCAGTACTTAAACTGAGGTCAAAGTTTGTGACATTAAATACATATTAAATACAACTATTAGGGGAATAACAGAAGAAACTGAGGATATTTTATTCTAAATCAATAGCACTTAATCAATGTTTACCACTTCTCTGTAGTAGAATTTCATTATTTGCATTTGTATGATAAATGTCCCTAGATCTTAGATTAATATAAACCACTTGTAGATGTCAGTATCCACAAACCAGGTGGTGCAGCACAGAGAGGCTTTGATTAAGTATCTACACCCCTTTGTAATTCATATTTCACGCATTTTATCATTCCTGTTCATATTTCTATTTACCAACTTATTTGAAGCATTAACTTTAATTTCAATGGTCACCAAAA